ATTTACCAGACAAGGACTGCAGATCCCCCTTCTTTCAGAGTATTTAGTGCCGGGTGACAGCTGGTGACGTGCCAAAGTTGCTGGTAAACAGGCGACCAACCACAGTGTGCACGTGAGCAGCATTAGAGAGTCTGCTGGTGGTCATTTCTGTGCCTCAAACTGAGCTGAAATGAGGATCAGAACTTTGCCCTGAGGCTAAACCTTTCATTTGGATCCTGATGGTTCCCATGCAGCTCCATAACGATTTAGCAAATCAGCTGACAGTGGAACACGTTTAATCAAAGCTGATTGGTTTTGGTCATTGCAAACTATAACGGCTGTGCTGATTTGAATTTTGTATCTTTTCCAAGCTCTACTCACACTCACACTCACACACACACACACACACACACACACACACACACACACACACACACACACACACACACCTTTGTTCACACACAGAAAGTAATTATGAATTCAGCCGACAGTCACATTATTGTCCATGTGTGTTCTGGTTTAAGTTTCTATTTATCGCCTTGGGCAAGTTTATGTATTCCTGCAGACCGTCCTTTCATTTTCTGCTGTTTACATGTTCTACTAAATTCCCATGTCTGGATGAATGAGCTGTGGATGAAAACTCCATCAGAACCATTTGTTGCTCTAAATCACCCCCTTCCAAAAAAATGAGTTGCAGGAGTGAGAGGAGCAGCCAAACTTTGTTTAAGCACGATTTGGTTCACATTAAGCATTGGGAAAGCTAAACACAAAGGAGGGCTGGAGCTCAAACACGCTGATCCTGAACTATTCAGATTGATTCTGATGTGAGTGATGAAACTTCACCCTTCTGCAGATTTACAAATGACCACATATCATTCAACTTTAACAGATAATCAATGATTTGGGTTTAAAAAAAAGACTTTTACAAAAAAAACTTTCATTTTTCACAATTTTAAGAGCAGGAGTCATTAGCTGGCGCCATTTGAAAGCAGCTTGAACTTTGGGTGGACTTCTTTTTAGAGACCACAACAACAACAGAGCGATGTTTCACTTTTTCAAAGAGCATTCTTCTTTTAGAATGTAGCCTAGCTGCCCGCAGGTCGCCAGAGGGTCAATCAGAATCGTTGACCGCTGGTTCACCGTTTCATTAGTCCTCGCGCTGGACAGGGCCACGCAGGGGCTCGCGCTGGGGACCACGCAGAGTTCAGGCGGCCTGCGGGAGCCGCGGATCCATTGTTGCGCCGTTTGATTGTTGCGCTAAAAGCCAATCGCCGCTCTGACTCCAAAGGAAAAACAACATCTTAACTCAAAGTTTTAGTTGATTATGATTATTCTTTTTTTTTTCATTTGCTGTGAGGATAATCAGGTTTTAGCTGAAAATATAATATTTTATTTTGACGCTTATTGTGTTTTTATTTTGAGGAACAAACCGCCCGCTCTCCTCCCGAGAGGAGCGCGTGAAATGATGCTCCTCTCAGCCCGAGTTTGGGGTAAAAAATCCATTCAGTTGTGGCTTTTCTTTCTGGGGGTCGTTTCACTTTTTCATCTTAGACAGGCTGACCGCCGGCTCACCCCTCCACCCCCGGCCCTCTACCGGGTCAAAGCCGAGCTGGGTGCTGCTTTAACCCGGTTTAGACATTAACTGCGACCTCCAGCTCTGGAAAGCCGCGCAGCGTAGCGCTGCGCCAACAGGAGCCGCAAAAATCTCAGTGTAAATTAAATATATTATTATTTAATTATGTCTTATTTAAAAGAACGATCTGACCAAAAGAAACACATCAGTCAACAGATAAACAGACGATGAAGATGGTCGTTTTGTGCAAAAATAACTAATCAAAAACATCTTTGTGTATTTTGTGTTAAATGTGCGTAAATTAATTCTGAGGCAAGATTGTTACGACTAAGGAGGTTTCACAGTTGCTTTTATTAAGAAGGAGCAACATTGTAATCGTTAAAATAGATTAATATGCATATAATTTATTTCTGATTTTCAATGTTAAGATACATTTTTACATTAGTCATCTGACATTTTAGTTCAGTTTTCTGTTGGTGAAAGATAGAAAATCTATTGCATCACGTGTCGATCCTGTGAAAATAAAGACAGTGTTGCCATTTTTGTCTGAATGTTTTCAGAAAAAGAAACAAAGAAATAAAATTCTAACTATTAATTGCAGACTAAAGTGATTCACATTGACATGATGCAGGCTCCCACCGTAATGGCAGCAACTTTTATCATTATTAAAGTGAAGGATAGGAAACTTTTGGTTCTGCAGCTGCTCCTTTATTTCTAAGTAGCTGCACGAGTTTCTGTTTTCATCGTAAAACAAGCATAATTGTTTAAAGATTCAAAATCGCATTTTAAAAATATAAAACTTACATGAAGACTTCAAATAAAGCAAAATATTTCACACCCAGTCACAGTATTTGCGTAATCTGGTGTGCTACAACTGAATGCAATTAAAGCATTTTAAACCATTTATATATTTTTGCTAAATTATTTTGCGGGTCTTTTTGTGCGTGATTCTGGATCAGATATTCCATTTTTTGTTTGTTTTTCTGGCTGCATGTTTATAAATAAACATTATAATTTTATTGCAAATTATTGCGTTAATGTGCACAAAAAAACACCGATTTTAAAATCGTACGTGCGTAAAAACAACTCCAGCTCCCACTCTTGGAAGCGTATTTATTCTGAAGAGGTTGAAATTAGAAATTTGAAAACGTTTTAAAATAATTGTTCACGTTAAAATAAAATCATAATAATTTATATCAAGTTCAAAAATACGTATTATTCCTCTAGTTATGCTACAAGATGATAACGAGATGATTAGGGGATTTTGGATTACGTTAAAACGTCCGTTTTTCGTCACCAGTCAGACGCGTGTAAAAAAACACTGAAACCCGGACTTTAGTAGGATAAGAGAAAAAAATCTGTGTAGCACGATTGGAGTTGTTTTTTATTATTTCAAACCCATTTCTGATTTTTTAATTTAAAAAATAGAAAATAGCAAGATCTATTTCATTTAGTCAATTTCAGTCATTTTAAAATATATAAAATATTCTATCAAAAGTGCACCAGCGTACCAAATATTCAAACTTTTTTTTAACATAAACGTCTAAAACTCAGACGTCTTAAGCTTACGTTTATGTTATCAACAGCTTGATAAAATGATTATAAGCAACAAAAAGGACCGTTAAGCCGCACTGAATCAAGTCCAACTGTTGAAATGTTGAAATGTTGGTGCTTTTCTGTCGTGTCAAACTAAACTTCCGGACATGTTTAATAACATTATAGATGTTAGGCTGCAGGTGGACTTCCGAAGCCCTCACACACTCCAGCAGAGGCCCCTGGGGGTCCCCCAGCTCTACAGAGACCCTCGTCCCTCCCTGACCCCCCTTCTTCTCTGTATAGCCATAACTTCATATCTGCGCCAAATATGAAACCCAGACGCACTTACTTGCTCCGTCCTGGTCTCGCGTTAAAACACGCGTCCGTAAAATCCCGTTTGGTCCGGACCGAATCAGAACATCAGGCCCGAATCGGATGTTTTTCCTCTCTGAGGCACAAGGCGCGTTGTTGATTTGGCACAAATATCTGATCCCATCTGGCCGCCGGTCGGCTTTTCTCTCTGAGTTATATTTTGGGGCTTGTCAAGCGGCAGCAATAAAACTCACTTTATTACCGTCACGTGCTCTGCTTTTTTTCTCTTTCTCACAACTCCCACATGGGTTCATAAATTATTAGGCCCTGCACCAAAGAGCCACTTTATTCGATAATGGCGCGAGAGGAGGGGGGGGGGAGCTGTAATGATAGGGGGAGGGGGAACGCTATGCTGCCAGATAATTAAGCGTTTTGGGACCTTTTTTCTTTCTTCATAACGATCTTTTCTTTTTTTTACTCCTATTTCCAACCAACTAAAAGTTTTCACTGTACAATTTATGAAACGCTCATTTTTATTGTAAACAAAAATCGTGCGTAAAATGGTTCTGTTTTGTGCGTAATGCAGCTTTTCTGCGCAGAGTGTTTTCCATTCAAACATGTAACTGGACGCTGTTAGCTGTTTTTCCGGATGTGTCTGGAATGCGGTTGGGAGCATTTGTTTCCTGCTTTGATTTCCGTAAATGGGGAGCAATAAAGCCATAAAGCAGCTCTGTGAAAACACACGGAGGAACTGTGTGTGTCTCTGTGTCAAACTGGACACCGCTTTGCTTGCTTTAGCAGCTCCAAAGCAAAGGTTACACAGAAAACCCGTCTCGCACATTTATAAACAATATCTAAAGATAATAAATAATCCCTTGCGATGCTTTAAATGCATATTTTTCTGTATTTTCTTTCTTTTTGTCCACAAAACTTTCAAAAATGATCAAACTTTGTTGCCAGTTGATTAAAAATTATTAAAATCTTTACAGAACAACTTTATCTGTTTTATTATTTTTGTTTTGTATCATTTTGGGTTTACTTCATAGACGGTTTACTTCCACAAAAAAATCAGGTTTTAAAGGTAAATTACGCACAAACTACTGCTTTTTCCATTTCTGACATAAAATCTATGAAAAATGTTTCTTGGTGCATTTAAGGTAAAAAAAAATAAATAAATAAAAATAAAAAACCTCCCACGACCTCCAAACTGACTGCAGAGCCTGTGAAACAATAGCTGGCGTTTGGGTGTCATATTTGAGTATTTTGCGCCACCTAGTGTTCTTAAGCAGCACCACAGCACCAAATGAGGCAACAGTTTTTTCCTCTCAAATGCAGAACTCATAAATTCCCCAACCTCCACCTTTTATTGGACTGCAGTGTGCGCGTCACACATTTCCTGTTCTCTGGCTCTCCCTGGTGGTGTAAGCTAAGCATAGCACGTTCTGCAGACTGCACCCCTTCAAATTTAACGTTTAAAGGAGATGTTCGACTGGTTTCTAATCTTGGGAATTCCTTTGAGATGCGAATAAACGACAAGTCCTTTGTGATAAACAACTGGGAAATATGATTAAATTATTGTTTTCTTTATTTTCACTTCTACCTGTTTCAGAGTCTTGAGCCATAAATGCCTGAAAAAGGAATTTTAAACAATGACTAGTTAACTTATTAAACTTTTCATGTGAAACTTTAATCCATGATTTAAAATAAGCAAATAGTTGTTTAATAAGCCATTAACTCGTTTAATTTTATTTTATTTAGTAATTTCTTAAAGACAAACTTACTGTCTGTGGACTTCACTGATGTCCGTTTGAACTTTTGCAGCTTTCTGCAAGAATAAAACATGATTCAAGGCAAGAGATCACACTGTTGTCATCACTTTCATTTTCTTTTGAACTTTAATGTTTCTTTTCT